TGTGATTCTGCCAGAATATGGTCTAATTCTGATTAGATTCTGGTAGAATTAGATGTACAATTATAATGTCTGATTCTGCCCGCATCTAACCAAAACTGAACTAAATTCTGGCAGAGTCACAGCAGAATTGGGCCAGAATCTGTCAATTCGTAGAGAGAACCTAAGTGTGTAGGAATGTAACTCCACATGGATATATGTAATTCTGTATAGATTCTCCCTACGAATTGACAGATTCTGGTGCAGTTCTGCTGTGATTCTGCCAGAATCTGGTCTGATTCTGGTTAGATTCTGGTAGAATTAGACGTACAATTATAATGTCTGATTCTGCCAGAATCTAACCACAATCGTAGCAGATTCCGGCAGAATCACAGTAGAACTGCACCAGAATCTACTAATTCGCAGAGAGAACCTATACCGAGTTACATATATCTATGTAGAGTCACATTATCACACACTTAGGTTCTCTCTGCGAATTGGCAGATTGTGGAGCAGTTCCGCCGTGATTCTGCCAGAATCTGGTCCAATTCTGGTTTGATTCTAGTAGAATTAGAGGTGGAATTATTATGTCTGATTCTGCCAGAATCTGTTCTGATTCTGGTTAGATTCTGGTAGAATTAGATGTACGATTATAATGTCTGATTCTGCCAGAATCTAACCATAATCGTAGCAGATTCTGGCAGAATCACAGCAGAATTGGGCCAGAATCTGTCAATTCGTAGAGAGAACCTAAGTGTGTAGGAATGTAACTCCACATGGATATATGTAACTCTGTATAGATTCTCCCTACGAATTGACAGATTCTGGTGCAGTTCTGCTGTGGTTCTGCCAGAATCTGGTCCAATTCTGGTTAGATTCTAGTAGAATTAGACGATAGGTCACGATAGTTTGCATTCTGCTGAGTTGTTGAATCCGGACGGTACTGTTTAACTTCTGGTAGAATCAGATGTACAATTATAATTGGCAATTGGGTTCTGGCTAGATTCTGGTACTATTGAATTGTAGATACTTCCGGATTCCGCGAGATTCTAGCGATAGTGGACCGGAATCGTAGTAGAATTACAGCAGAAGTGCACCAGAGTAGGCGGAGTCGTAGAGAGGATCTGATTGTGAACTGTTGCCGATATACTCTCGCATTCTACCTGAATTGTAAAATTATCTCGCAGAATTACGGGAGACTTGCAGAAGTATCTGGGAGTTGATACAGGGGATGTAATTGTGAACTTATATTTATGTACTTTCTGATTCTACGAGAAGCAGGGTGTGTGAGGGTGAGTCACGATAGTTTGCATTCTGCTGAGTTGTTGAATCCGGACGGTACTGTTTAACTTGACAGCTAAAAAAAAATCTTTGCTCTTTAAGTTCACTTCAAGGGTGAAATTCTCAGCAAGATCAGACATTAAAAAGTGCCTGGTTAAAAAACTGGTTTTCCGGAGATCCTCACAGGTCCCGAAACAAATGTTTTTGTTTTGGAATCATCTTGAGATTCCGAAGAAGGATTTGTGTTATTTAGAATTGTTTCACTTCATATTTAGTTTCAAGAGCACTTTTTGTTTTTATATTCCCACTCTGTCACGTCCGCAACGAAGACTTAAATGGATTATGGTGCAGAATATCCAAATCCTTTAGAAAAGCGTTTGCTAGCAATTTTTGTACCTAGGTATGGGACGAATCGAGCGCTCGAGCGAAACAGACGAATGGCGCTCGTCGCCCGAGCGAGACTGACGAATCGCGCTCGTTCTACGAGAATCTAACCAGAATTGGACGAGAGTCTGGTAGAATTACGGCAGAATTGTGCCGGAATCTGCCAATTCGTAGAGAGATTGCGATAATGGGGCAGGGGAGGGGCGCGTGAGGCTGAGTGGCGATACTTTGAAGTCTGCTGAGTTCTGGAATTTACACGGTACTGTCGAACTTGACATCACTCCCGATTCTGGCAGAATCAGAAAGTGTATATGTAGCAGTTCAGACATGGATCCCCTGTATGAATCGGCAGACTTTAGTGCAGTTCTGCTGTAATTCTGCCAGATTCTGGTCCAATTCCGGTTAGATTCTAATAGAATCAGATAGTATTTAGATATCAGTTCATACTCAGCTCCTCCCTACGAATGAGCAGATTCTGGTGTAAGTCTGCCAGATGCTCGTGAGATTCGTAGAATCAGAAAGTATATAAATATCAGTTCACACTTAGATCCTCTCTACTAATTGGCAGATTCTGCTTGAATTCTGCAATAAGTCTGCCAGTTTCCGGTCCGATTCTGTTTAGATTCTGGTACAGTTGAATTGTATATACTTTCTGATTCCGCGAGAATCTAGGCATAATTGAACCAGAATCTGGCAGAATTATAGGAGAATTCCACCAGAATCGGGCGATTCGTTGAGAGAATCTAATTGTGAACTGATACTATATACTTTCTGATTCTACGAGAATCTAACTAGAATTGGACCAGAATCTGGCAGAATTACAGCAGATTTGCACCAGAATCTGCCGGTGTGTAGAGAGGATCTAAATATGAACTGATATCTGTATACTTTCGCATTGTACAAGAATCTAATCAGAGTCGGACGAGGATCTGGCAGAATTATTGATTCTGAAATCGGTGCGCTTTACTGATTTTGAATCTGCTGTAGTTTTGGTAGACTCCGGTGGAATTTCACTTGAATTCAACGGGAGTTCACTAAATATTCGGTGTGACGTTGAGATACCCTCTGGGAATTCTAGATTCTGTTTAGCTCTCGTGTACTGTTATTGGAGTTTTGTGTAATTCTACTGAAGTCCAGGGATAGTTCACTGGATCTTCTGTATCAGACTGAGATATACTGCAGGAATTGGCAGATGCTGGTCAGTTGTCGCGTAGTTCTAGCCGACGCGCGTGCAGTTCTGCTGAAATTCAAGCAGAGAGCATCGAATGATCTGTATCACATTGGGATACACGGAGATTCTGCTCATTTGTCTTGTAATTCTTGCCGGTTGTGGTCCATTTCCTTTCGAATTTTTACATAATAGTTTGCAGTATTATGTTTTATTTTTGTCTAGTAGGTTGCGATGAATTTAGAATTTTCTCCTGGATGCTTTTTTAAACGTGTATTTTGTTTTCGTTTCTAGAAGTTTGGTCGAACTGAAGAAAGTAGAAGAAAATGTAGTGTTAAGTCTGTTATTGTTTTCCCTTGTTCGCCGGCTAGATTGTTGTTATGTTTGGTGAACTAAAGGACGTGGTCTTTTTCTTTTTCGGTCTTTGTTTTTATATATAATGTCGATATGTATAGATATATCATATGTATTTGTTCTATATACCTTATCTGCGTAATTGTTTTTGCCGTCCATTTCTCTCCTTCTATCATGTTAGAGACTATAAATTGCATCGTATCTTTATGTAGACGTTACAGTTAGATAGGAGTGTGAGTTCGCAACGTACCAGCTACTTCAACTCTGAAACGCTTATTATTCTTTTAGAAATAATATATTATTTTAACGGTTTAAATGTCGTCAAAATTAGCGATCAACAATTTATTCATGAAGAATTTTGATTTCAGTGCTTCCATTGAATATGATTTTAACAAAATGTATGGTCAACGGGTCGCTCAAACATTATCTGATTTATCTTCGAATATGCAAATCGATAAACAAGCCTTGGGTCTATTATTATTATCTTGTGGCGCTCATTTTTGTAATGACTCGTCGGTCTATCGTGACAATTCGTTTGAGAATAAAATAGTGATGTTCCAAGCATTAGTTACGAGGCCAGGTAATATGCATTACAAAACAGAGTGGAGTATTTTTTTGAATATCTCTTCTCAGAAAAAGATGAAGACCTGAAGTTTCGTTGTTCGAAAGATTAGATTTTGAAACAGAAAGATTTTCAAAAGTCTGTATCGGTATTATATTTGTGTGCTCATGTCGTCAAAACCAAAATTGTTTTTTTGTGTGAATCAAGTGAATAACGCGAAATTCTACAAAATTCTATATATTCTTCTAGAAATTTGCAAATATTTAGTTCTAGAATTTGTAACGATTTTTTGAGTTACGCCATTATGTTTTCGCATTTTTTTTGCGTAGTCACGCAAAAAAAATTTTGCAATTTCTACATGGGTATTGCTCTGAACGATTGGGATTCTAAGATTTTACTCGATGCAGAGTCTTAAGATATCTACCCAGGCCATGAACAATGAGATAAAAAATAAGCCATAAATGACGCATTTATGTGCCATATATGGCTCATTTTCAAGTCACATTTATCGCATTTCTACTTCATTTACTGTATTATAGTGTAGTCATAATTAATTCATTAGGATGTGATAAATATGATCAAAATGTGATCCTAATGTTAGGATCATATTTACATTATATTAGGGACATTTTCCAGGTATTTTGACATCATTTATGAGATAAGGAAAAAAGAAGAAAAAATATCAACAGTTGAGAGTCATTCTGCTTTAGCGGAAAAGAACCAGTTAACTACAATTGCAACAAAGAAGTAGATGAATTTTGTTTTTTGCTCAAAGAATATGCATTTTACAGCTTTGACAGTAGAATAAGAAATGATCAGAATTCAGTCGTCTGGTCATATTTAGGCGAAGCTCATCACACCGAAACTGGCAGACGTAAAAGCATCACTAATAGTGAATTATCCTTCCTAAAAGTGCATGACGAATTAGTTTTTACTTGCGAAGTTCCTCAGTGATGACAAAGTTTTATAGTTTAATCTAGTATTTTGAAGCAGTAGGAAGCGCAAAAAAACTACGTTGGCAATATCCTCAGTCATTTCAACTGCCATTCATAACTATGTCATACTATCACATGGATGACCAATATATAGCATATAAATAATATGATCTAATTATGATCATAAAATGATATAAATATGAGTGTAAGAAAATGATATTTCTGAGCCATGTTAAAAAATGATGTAAAAATGACATAAATGACTCATCTAGGATCCTAAATGTATGATATAAATATGAGACATAAATATATCATTTGTAGATGATCATATTATGATCATATTTAGGTAATTTATTGAAATTATATCATAATATGATCATTTTTATCTCATATCTTGAAATGGTCTTAAACTGACTCAAATATGATTTCATGTTAAAGTCATATTTGAGCCATTTTAGGATCATTTTTAATTCATATCATATGTCTCATTTTTGATGACCTGGGTATCGGGCAAAACTTCACATTGGCACATATATGAATACGGATTCGTAGCGTATATCGAATAAATTCCCAAAGCCTATTCTATGATGTATATTTATTGTATATATCTGTACAGGTGTATAGCGGAACATAGGCCTACAGCTTAGAAAATGAAATTAACTAAAGATTTATTTACGAGGTTTTCTGAAGAATTATATCAAAGTCCAGTACGAGGTAAACGATATATACAATAAGTACATAGAAAAGATGGAACCTTGGAATTTTACTAAATACATCGTTTGTATCCGTACCCTAATTTCAATCGTTCAGCAAAATACACACATATAATACCGATACAGATTCACCCCAAATTCCAGAGACCTGAGTCTCTAGACACATGAAGAAAACCAAAATGTTTGTACTTGGTTTATGAGTTTTACGGCTTGGTTTATGAAGGACTTCCTACAAAACAGAGTTCACAGAAACATTTGGAAAATCTTTCTGTTCCAAAATCTCCTCTTTCGAACAGCGAATCATCGTTTTTTGATCTTGCGACAACGTTTACTTTTCGAAAGAAATTCAGAAACCTAGTGAAAATCTATATTAGGTGAAATAGTCGATTTTTGCCTGTTTTCCAATTGATAATAGTGTATAACGTTCAATTACTGCATGAAGATGACTTATAACTTTTTTTGTCTTTTCCAGCATACGGAAAAACAAGTCTTTTTCGGCTCATTCGAAATGCCGCTCGAGATGTGTTTCTTTTTGATCCAGCATTCAGCGGAATCGATTTGGGTAAGGATGCGGATGGTGACAAAAACTACAATGTTATTAACGAGTTTAGTGGGTCTGGTCTGCTCGAAGAATTAAACAAAGTTCAATCGCTATGTATATTCGATGAAGGAGATGATCAGCTAGAAAAATTGAATATTATTCAAAGCGATAAATCAAATTCAGCAGTTAGTTGTCGTGGGTTGCTGTTAACAATTCATAGTGGTGAAGATAAGCACACGAAGATTACCAAAGGTCAGGGTGAGTAGCCTCTACAAATGCAAGATTTTGCAAGTATTCATGTGTGCGATTTTGACTTAGGTCGACAATCAACTCGAACAAAAAAACTAACGATGACGTTTGGTTCGAATGGCAAGAGTGTTCAATCATTAATTGGTCAAAAGCTTGACCAACCATTGTTCCCTGACAGCATGGTAGAACGTATTTTATGGGAAGCACTTGCGACAAAAGTAATGAAAACGGCCAATCGATTGAAAGTACTTCCAGATGAAACGCTAGGCTTTAATCAGATATTTTTGACCATGTCACTCTGTGGAAATTCCACATATAAATTCGAAGACGATGCTAACAATTTAGTAAATAAATTTATGGACGAACTGACAGAACTTGGTAAACAAAGTTTTCGGCTTATGCTTGTATGAAAACTATCAGTAAGATACGTTAGCTTACTTTTAGGCGTGTCATATGAAGCTGTTGACGGTTGGCTTTCCAGCAGATTAATGAAAGCTCGGGAGCATTGCATTCGAGCTTGTGCCATTTTTCAATGTTTGGAAAATGCTGTACTTATTCTACAGTCATATCAGGAGGAAAATGATGACTTTAAACATGGCTTTATCGATCGTCAGTTCGTTTTGAAACTGATCGAAATAATTGAAAAAACAGACTGGAAGTTAGAAAATGGATTTTATATGATAAGCAATGGTATGTTAGGTTTTGGAACGAATTTTCCTTAGTGTTAAAGATTAAGTTTTGAGTTTGTGATTGTTTGCTTTTTCAAAGTCAGCATCTAGAACACACCACTTTTGGTAAAAATGGCTTCTTCTATTAAACTTTTGAACTCGTTACACGACTATTTCGCGAATGACTCTTGCGCTAATTTTCCATAATACAATTTGGGTATTTTTGGCAGTGTGTGACAGGGTGGAGGATGAGGACAGGTCTTCAGAAAAATTCACAAAAAATACCTCCATCGGCAGGGGATACCCTTAAATGTTATTAGGGTTGTCTGGTATATATGTGTCTAGGTTATTAGATTTTTTAGATTATTTGTTTGTGTACATACATGTGTAGAACATTGTCCATAGAAAACAAGAAAAAATCTTTGGCGCAGATAAAAGCCAAATTTTGTGATCTACAACAGTAATACAGAAAAATCTGCTCATTATTAGTTGTTCTCATCAGTTTCGAAGGTGAGCGTGTGTAGGACTATATAACATTAGGAAGGACTAAAGAACTTAGTCGCAACACCTTAGATTGCTGAGCCCGTGGGAATGAGAATACAATTCATATAGCATGCCTCTGCGCACAAGTTATATACAGGGTGTCCCATAAATCACCGAACGAATTTGTTTGCGAATAACTTTTGATAGGAGCAAGTTAGAGATCTCCGGTTTTCGCCATTTGAAGAGGAGACTTGGAGACATGTGTTCATAATCAATATTATTTTCAGAAGAGTTTTCTGAAACAGGTTTTCTAGGAGATCTTTGGAAAACTAGGCTGTCTGTAAAGATTTTCCAATAGCATTGTATTGCACTTTTTCATGCGCTGATAGCTCGGGGTGTCCTATCCAAAATGGGAGTAAAGTGAGACCTTGATTTTCCACGGTTCGGGCGTTGTATCGAATTTCCTACGAGTCCAAGAACTGGCACGCGGTGACTATTCGTAGCCTTAAAGACGGATGGACTATGGGCAATCGACCATGCTGAGTTTCATGGAAATAGTTTTTTTTAGAAAAAGTTTTAAAAATCTGCCGAAAAGCCAGTTTTACGAAAATTAGGATTTTCAGGCTGTTTTCACCTAATATTAAAAAATTCACTATCCACTTAGGAAACATCAGAACAAGCTCAAAATCTCAGGATATGATTAATGTTGTTCGCTAAATATGATTTTAGGATCGAAAAAATCTAAAAGCATATTTTTGTTAATACGTTTTCCAGAAACCATTTTGGAAAACCCGAGGATTCTGTAAAATTTTTTTCGAGATTTCCTATGAATAGGACATAGAATAACTTAAATACTCTACATTATGAAGTTCTGAACTCGTTCGGATGTTTTTTGAGTGAATAGTGAATTTTTTAATATTACGTGAAAACAGCCTGAAAATCCTAATTTTCGTAAAACTGGCTT